CCCCCTGGTGTCCCCCCCCCCCAAAAGCACCAAGAATACAGAGCATCACTTGCTCCAGACTGAGAGTTCCTATAAGAACATAAGAGAAGCCAATGCTGGAGCAAGCCAGTGGCCCATCCAGTCCAACACTCTATGTAACACAGTGGCCAAAAATCCCAGGTGTCATCAGGAGGTCCAGCAGTGGGGCCAGGACACTGGAAGCCCTCCCACTGTTGCCCCCCCCCCGCCAAGCACCAAGAATACAGAGCATCCCTTGCCCCAGACCAAGAGTTCCTATCTATACCTTGTGGCGAATAGCCACTGATGGACTTCTGCTTAATCCACCCCTCTACCATAAAGGCATGCAGGTTCCTCCCAGGACCTCTGACCCTAACCCAGCTGGCACAGAAGTCGTCCCACCAAGTTCACTGAGTTGCTCCCAACAGTGATGGCCCCAGGTTTTTTCGCCCACTCGGCAAGGATACATTCGGGGGAGGGGGCTGTGTAGGGTGGGGGCGGGCGCCTGAGCTGCAGTGGGTGGGCCGAGGGGGCGAGCTGCAAATGCATGCAGGGGGCGGGATCACTTGAGGGGAGGGGGCCTGTGCCAGGCTGCAAAAAGAGCTCCAAAGAGGGCGGCAGAGGGCGAGCGGCACTTTCCCCTCCCCTACACCTGTCCCCCAGCCCCAGCCTCCTTCTCTTTCCGTCTGGGAGGCTGCAAAGAGGGGCAGGGACAGAGCAAGAAGCCGCCGGCAAGGGAGGCTTCCTGTGCGGGGCGAGGAGGGGACAAGGCCAGCCAGAATGGTGTCCACGTTGATGCGACGGTCTAAAATTTAACAATAACGGGTCGGCCCTGGCTCCCAAGTAAGTCTGTGTATGGGATCATAGCCACAGGACAGGGATGCAAAATAGCCCAAGGAGATTGTGCTGGAGGATACAGAGAAATCACACAGCTGTCAGATCTACTACACAGAGCTAGAGGAAGGCAGCCGGAGCGTGAGTGCACAGCCTGGGAAGAAAGCGAGCGTCCAGAGTTCCAAGGAAGATATAGCTGTGGGTTCCCAGCATATCTACAAGCTCTCTCGTATCCATGAGAGCCAGTGCAACGCAGTGGTTAGAGTGCTGGACTAGGAACCAGGAAATCCTGGTTCGAATCCCCGTTCTGCCCTGGAAGCCTGCTGGGTGGCCTTGGGCCAGTCACAAACTCTCAACCTGACCCTACCTTGCAGTGTTGCTGTGAGGATAAAATGGAGGAGAGGAGATAAATGCAAGTTACTTTGGGTCCACATTGGGGAGAATGGTGGGGTGAAAATGCAGTGGATAAGTACTAGATATCCCAATACAGTGTAAGTGGATAGAAGTGTCTCTGTGTTGCAGACGGAACAACGCTCACCCCAAGTCAGTGGAAGGCTTGGGGGGAGGTGGAGTCTGGAGCTTCTAGTCTTCCGTTCTCCATTCCCAGCTTCTTGGGACCAGAAGGATGCCTTCTCTCTCTCTCTCTCCAGCATTGGCAGGACCCCTTGTTGGTTTTTACACAATGCTTTCCTCTGCCCAAAGAAGCCTCAAAGAAGCTTACAATCGCCTTCACTGCCAAACTTCATGCACGGTGCATACCTGGGGCGATCATGCTGATTTAGAGGGGTTGTGCAATGTGCGAACACTTGAAAAGTTCAGTCTAATCACTAAGTGTGATTGGAAGTGTTGCATAGCTTGATGAGACTGTAATCCAGATGAAAAGCAACGTATAAATATTGCTAGTAAAACACTAGTGACCATAACATTTGAAGACTCCAAAGCAAATTAGGAAACAAACATACAGCTTAAAAGCAAAAATCTTACACCACATTCAAATGCCTACATGTTTGGTATGTGTCAAAAAAGTATTAATGCACTGACAACCTCAACAATGAATACATTCATAAATAACAGGCACTGATGCAGCATACATACATTTTCTTCCAGTCATCCTTGCAACAACCCTGCCAGAACGATTATAATGTCCAAATCGCAAATGCAATGAGCCCAACTGATCTGACAGGTGGAACAGATCTGCAGTGTGCAATACAGCCCCAGCATGTCACAAGTAAGTCCCACTTTTAGAGGGGTGGGGCTTTCTCCCAGGTAAGCCTTGTAGAGGAGTAGCCTCCTGTAGTTTTAGACAATGTTTGCATAGTGAGGATCCATTCACGGCATCAGAAGAAGTAGCCTCGAATTCTTCAAAGCTTCTGCTGGAATACAATTTCGGTTGTCCTTAGGGAGCCACAAGGATCCGGCGTATTTTCCCCAGGTAGCGGTGCAGCCATAAATCAGGTAGGACTTTGTTCGGTGTGCGCCGGTGCAATAAATTCCACCACCCCTCCGGGAGGAAATAAAAAATTTGCAATGGGCCGAGCAGTCTCCAAAGTACTTGGAGAGGCGCGCGATCCTTCCCCCGGTTTCCTCGGAAGTCAGCACCGCCGCTCCTCCCCAAGCGGCAGCAACTTCCCAAACCCGGGCGCGCGCGTGTGTGCGCCTGGCCTGCAGAAGAAGCGCTCCCCTCGGGGCTCCCAAGAACCCGCACAACGTTCACCGGTCCCGCCGAGGAAACCAACCCGTCCCGACCGCCTTTCCCGGCCCGATCCCGCGCCTCCTACCTGCCGCCCCCCACGTGGGGCGCGGGCGCCTCCGAGCGCACCTGAGCGGCGCGGGCGGCCAATGGGAGCGCGGGGCGCGGGCCGCGTGGGCGTGGCCGGGCGAGCGTGGGCTCCATATAAGCGGCGGCGGCGGCCGGTAGGGCAGGGCGGGCGCTGATTGGCTGTCGGGCGCGAGTGGAAGCCGCGGGGGCGGTGGCCGTTGCTGATTGGGCGTTGGCGCCGCGAGGAGCGAGGGTGTGTCCCGGGGCGCGAGGCACCAACGGACGGACGGGAGTGCCGGGCGGGAGGAGGAGGAAGGCGGCGGAGGGGATGCTGAGCGAAGCGGAGAGCGGTGGCGGGGCCGGCAGCGGGAGCGCCGCGGAGAGCCCCGGGGGGGAGCCGGCGGCCGGGGTGGCCAAGCCCGCCCCGCCGGCAGCAGCGGCGGCCAGCGCCCTGCCCAGGAGCCAGGCGACCAAGCGCGTCCTAGGTGAGGCTGCGCGGGGAGGGGGGGCGAGCTTGCCAGGCGGAGGGGGCGGGGCCTGCTGGGGCGGGGCTCGCCCTCGAGTGGGCGTGGTTTTCTGCCGAGGGGGCGGAGCCTGTTGGAGCATGCCTGGGGGGAACCTGCATGCCTTTAGGGTGTGGGGGGGTGTATTAAGTTTCTATAGCAATTTCTAAATAAATAAATAAATATAGGTGGGGGCAACGCTCCCTCTAAGCTGCGGAGTCCTGTGAGCAAAAATTCTACTTGGTGAGCCTCTGGCATTAAAGTCGGGGGCGAGCGATTGGGCTGCTCGCTCTGGAGCCGCCTCCTTCCTGAGCGAAGACAGAAATGTGTGAGCCGGAGGCTGAAAAAACTGTGAGCTGGCTCACACTGACTCAGCTGAGAGGGAACACTTGGCTGCAATGCTCCCTCTAAGCTGTGGAGTCCTGTGAGCAAAAATTCTACTTGGTGAGCCTCTGGCATTAAAGTCGGGAGCGAGCAATTGGCCTGCGGCAGAAATTAGCTCGCTCTGGAGCCATCATACCAACTCAGCTGAGAGAGAACACTTGGCTGCAATGCTCCCTCTAAGCTGTGGAGTCCTGTGAGCAAAAATTCTACTCCGTGAGCCGCTGGCATTAAAGTTGTGAGCCAGCGATTGGGCTACGGCAGAAATTGGTTCGCTCTGGAGCCACCTCCTTCCTGAGCGAAGACAGAAATGTGTGAGCTGGAGGCTAAAAAAAAACTATGAGCTAGCTCACACTAACACAGCTTAGAGGGAACACTGGCTGCAATGTTCCCTCTAAGCTGTGGAGTCTTGTGAGCAAAAATTCTACTCTGTGAGCGATTGGCATTAAAGTTTGGGAGCGAGCGATTTGGCTACGGCATAAATTGGTATACTCTGGAGCCATCCTTCCTAAGCAAAGACAGAAGTGTGTGAGCCGGAGGCTAAAAAACTGTGAGCTAGCTCACACAAACTCATCTTAGAGGGAACGCTGGGTGGGACTGTCTAGGGGGGCTTGCGGGTGGCCACCCTCCGGGGCAGCTGTTTTCTCCAGAGGAACGCGTCTCTGTTATCTGGAGATCAGTTGCAGTTCTGGGGGGGTTCTCCAGACACCCCCTGGAGGGTGGCAACCTTAATTGCTAACTTGTTTTTTTCCACAGGTTCAGGTGAGGTCGCCGTGTTGGTCTGAAGCAGTAGAACAAAGTTTGAGTCCAGTTGGCACCTTTAAGACCAGCAAAAGTTTAATTCTGGGTATGAGCTTCTCTGTGCATGCAAAGTGTGTCGTGTGCATGCAAAGTGTGTGTTTTGGTCTTAAAGGGGCCACTGGATTCAAGCTTTGTTCTATTATTTTTCTCACAGCTTTAAAAAAAGGAAAAAGCAATTTCCCTTGCCCGATATTGTCACAGGATGGGTGGGGCTGTACTGGAACGTGGCGTGGAATATTTGGGGGAAAGAATGTTCATTCTCCATTTGAGTGCTGCACTTGGAATAACTGGGGAGGGCATACACTTTTTTAGGTACCTCAAGCGGGCGTGGCGAGTTAATATGGAAGGAAGAGATCTGGGTGGGGTTGCCAATTCCTGGTTGGAAAATACCTGGAAATTTGGGGGGTTGGGCCTGGGGAGGGCAGGGGGTGGGGAGGGACCTCAGCAGAGTATAATGCTGTAGAATCCACTCTCCAAAGGGGCCATTTTCTCCCGGGAAATTGATCTTTGCAGTCTGAAGGTCAGTTGGAGTTCCAGGAGAGCTCCAGGTGCCCCCTGGAGGTTGGCAAGCAAGCCCAGCTCTGTGGAGTGTGGCTTCTGCCTGGCTGCGCCTTCCTTCTGCAGGTACATTCTGTCTCCCTATTGAAGGCTTGGGTTAGTGGCCGAAGAGGCAAGTGAGTGGTACCTGGGGTGATTTGAAAAGCCGTAGGGGAAGCAGTGTGCCTGCCGCTTTGTTGGGAAGCCTGACCCGACCCTCAAGATCAGTAGGTGCTGAGTGTTGACAGTCAAAATGAGTCTGAAACAGGTCAATGTATGTTATGCCATTGTCTTTCCCAGGGCCAGTTGTTGGGGCTAAGGCATGGTTGCTTGGGATAGCTTAAGGAGGTGGGTCCCAGCTGGGCCCATGCCACCACTGCCTAAGGCAAACCAAACCCCTGGGATACCATGCTGCAGCGGTATTGGTCTACCCCGTCTGGGGCCAACACATGCCCTGGAGAAGATGAGCGTACCTTGTTTGGGGTGACCAAATACCTTCAACTGGCCCTGGTCCGAAGAGGGAATTTGACACCAGGAGAGTTGCTCTCATGAAAGAAACTTTATCCGTACCCCTCTCGGGACTTTGGGAGAGAGGAACTGGCACAATAACCGCAGCTTTGTGCTGGCTCCTTGCAAGTGCTGTGGAAGGGAGGCACCAGCTAGTTGGGCGGGCGGGCCCTGGCCTGAAGCAAAGGGGGACTGCCCTTGGGAGTAGGTCTTGACCTGGACCAAAATGTGCAAGTCTTGCAGGTGAATGGTGGGGCTCTTGGAAGTGTGCTGCGAATGGGGTGGCTTGCCTCTGCCTGTCCACGTCATCAGTCTTCTCTCTTCCTTGGCATTATGCTGCAGCCACCCAGGTGCAGGGCACGGTGAAATGGTTCAACGTCCGTAATGGCTATGGATTTATAAACAGGTAAGCATCCCCCGTCTTCCTCCCCAAAGGCTTGGAGAGTGTGGAGTCCTTTTAAATTTTGGAACTCTTGGTCAGTGGCACCTGGCTCTCAGGTGAGAGGTGTCTGAGAGCCAGGCTGGGTGTGGACCCTTCTTGAGTGACTTCAGGCTGGCACCCGCCCACCCATTTTATCCATTGAAAAGCCTTGGTTCAAATGGTACAACGTAACCTGCTCTTGAGAAGACTCTGTTGTGCAAATCCCTTCCCTGAGGTAAGTAGCCAACTTATAAAGCAAGAGACATTAAGGGGCTGTACCTTTAATCCCGGATGTGAGGATTGGCTGAAGTTACTCAGTTGTGGGGATAGGTCACTTGGCACATGCTCAGATGCGATGGATTTTGCTTAGCCTCAAGTGATGCTGGACTCGGAGAGCCCTATTGCTTTCTCAATACCTGCCTTCTGCTAAAGGGAAGTGATTGAATTAGAAGAGCAGAGGTTACCTGGAAACTGGAGCTGCTGGTCACCTGACCAAGCTCTTTTCTGCGGACCTATTTCTGTGACCCCACCCCAAGGTAATTCTAGTAATGAGGTTCAAGTGAACTTTTATGGACTTTCTGTACCTCTTGGTATATGCCCAAACGGTCAGGTAAAGGTCTCTATAGATGCCTTGACCAGGGGCCCCTACAAATACAACTAGATGTTCTCTGTTTCTGACTTCTGGGCAGATTGGCGCTGTTGAGAACACAAACAGCCAAAGAGCAAGGCTGGAACCCTCCCAGCAAGCTAGCAGAGGACTTGGGACTCCTTATCCGTCCTTTTTATTTGTGTTGTGATGCCATCTAAGGGTGTTTGTCTGTAAGAGGAATGTGATAGGCTAATAGAAAGCCGTAGTTCAAGTTCATTTGTGTGTGTGTGTATGGGCGTGTCTTTCTGGCGGAAGGGGGAGTTTTAGGGAGGGCTGTGGGTCAGCGGTTCTCAGTTGAAATGAGGACCTGGTTTGGGACCTCTTCATTATATCGATCCCTGTCAAGAGAGGTTTCTATGTTTTCCATCAGATTGCTCACCGTTGCTAAAATTTCTGACTTGGCTAAAGTAAACTCCTCCGTCTAATGTAAGCAGTAGCCTCCAGGGCTATCGGGGGTAGAAAGCAGATATAGAAGGTTCCTAAGTTTGCCATGTGAAATATACGTGTTGAGTTAGAGGGGTGAGGTGGAAGAAATCGTCCTGCAGCACAGACTTCCTGGATTGTTGTCCCAGTGAGGTGAGAAGCAGGTCAAGTGAGGGCATTCCCTGGGCCAATTGATAGCGGGGTAAGAATGTGCAACCAGACTTCTGTGTGATGAATCTGCGTGCCTGGTACTCTGAATCTTCAGTGTGGAAACGCCCAAAGCTTTCTGTCTCTCTTTCCTTTTTCCCTACAGGAATGATACCAAGGAGGATGTGTTTGTACACCAGGTAAGGACCATGACCTGGATAGCCCAGGCTTGCCCAGTCTCTTCTAGATCTTAAGAAGCTGAGCAGGGTCATGGCACAGAGGCTGGCAATGGCAAACCACCTCTAAATATCTCTTGCCTTGAAAACACTGCCACGGGTTGCCAGAAGTCAGCTGTGACCTGATGGCCAAAAGGGCCATGGCTCTTGCAAGCTCATTTCTCATGGCCTCAGCCACCTGGTAAGCCTGAACCTGGCTTGTGGTTCTCTTGCATGCTGGAGTTTGTGGATGCATTGATGGCAGGAATATTTTTGCCCTGCCATCGTGCAACTGATACTGTCCAGTGTGGGGCATGGCGTACCTTAAGGCTCTCTGGTTGGCAAGGAGAATGGCCATTCATAAAGACACCTGCTTAGCTTGAGGAAGTGCAACAGCACTGCTTAACTTGACCCAGAGATGTGTGGACTCTTTCTGGGCACTTCCTTAGATTAGATACCCCAGAGAGCTTTTCAAGGCACAGTGAAGTGGGGCATCCATAGAAAGGCTGGTGAGAAACTTCAGTCATTGAGTTAATGTTACCTGTAAGCTCTGAATGTTAACCTGTAAGACTAACAACATTTATTTCAGTATGAGCTCTTGTGACTCGCCTCCAGAAGGAGTGAGCTGTGACTCACGGAAGCTCCTACTGAAATAGATGTTAGTCTTTAAGGTGGCCCCAGATTTTTTGTTCTATTTTCCTAGACAGACTGTCACATCCACCTCTTTGTGCTCAGCTGTAAGCTCTGCGCAATGGCTCCTCTTGCACGCATGGTGTCCCATTTAATAGCCAAATCAGCATCTGTCCCAAGAAACCATTCAAAAGGGCATTTGGCAAGTAGTTGTCTGTGGGGTTACTTAACTGGCAGTTCTGTTGTTCGTAAATGCACGGCCTGTGAAGAAGAGACATGGTTCTTGTTGCACTTTCCAGGAAAAACTGATTCTGTGTAAAGTGAAACTTCCATTTTTGCTGTGCGGGGGAACACTAGTGAGGCAGTTAACAGTGGTCTTTGCTAGCTCTGCAGTGCTGAGGGACCTTTGTGGGGTCCTTCTGCTCCTGCAGAGCTCACCGGGCCATCTCTTTGCTCCCTCCTAGACTGCTATCAAGCGAAACAACCCCCGTAAATTTCTCCGAAGTGTCGGCGATGGCGAAACGGTGGAGTTTGATATTGTGGAAGGCGAGAAGGTAGTGTGGGCGATGGGGCGGGCCTGGCCTGTGAAGGGCTGTTAAGACGGTGTCTCCAGCTGACCCACTCCTCCCGGTCTCCTGCAGGGTGCTGAGGCGGCCAACGTAACCGGCCCTGGCGGGGTTCCTGTGAAGGGCAGCCGCTACGCCCCCAACCGCCGTCGCTTCCGCCGGTTTATCCCCAGGCCCCGGCAGGGCCAGCAACCCCAGGATGGCGCCCGGACTGAAGTGGCCGCCGAGACGGTCAGCGAGGGGGAAAGAGCGGACGATGTGATACAGCAGCGTCCCCGAAGGAGGCGCCCCCCACCTTTTTTCTTCCGCCGGAGATTTGTGCGGGGGCCTCGGGCTCAGGCCCAGCTGCAGCCGGGTCAGCCCACAGACGTGAGTCCTCAGTGAAGGCGTGAGTGGATGCGGGGTGGGGGGGCTGAGTGTCCAGGGCAAGCCCCTTCCAGCCCCTGCTGCACTGAGCCCTTGGTGAGGTCTTGCGGACTGTGCCTGAGCATTGGGCTTGTGCAGGCTCCTGGAGGGAAGTAAGTTCTCTGTGTGAAATGGCCTTTGGTAGGCGGTAAGTGATGCTCCCTCTAAGCGATGAAGTCCTCTGAGCAAATATTCTACTTTGTGAGCTCCTGGCATTAAAGTTGTGAGCAGGTGATTTGGCTATACTGCATAAATTAGCTTGCTCTGGAGCCCTCCTTCCTGAGCCGAGACAGAAATGTGTGAGCCGGAGGCTAAAAAACTGAGCTAGCTCACATGACCTCAGCGTAGAGGGAACACCGGCTGTAACCCTCCCCGGGATGGCCCAGTCTAGCCCAACTCATCAGATCTCAGAAGCTAAGCAGGGTCGGTCCTGGTGAGTGTTCTGTTAGGAAGATCACCAAGGAAGTACTGGGTTGCTATGCAGAGGCAGGCAATGGCAACCCACCTCTGCTCATCTCTTGCCTTGACACCTTGCAGGGGCACCATACATCAGCTGCGGCCTGGCAAGAAAAATGAGGTGTCTTGTATTGTGGATTCATCACAATTTTGGATTGTTTCTCTTTGTAATTGCACTTGGATCATTTTAAGCAGTGTGCTTTTCTTTCTCAGGGTACTGAAAGCACAGAGCCCAAAGATCCTACCCAGCCTGAGGGAGACCCCCAACAGCAGATCCAGGCTGGTGAGAGAGCCCCGGCCCCTCGCTTCCGTCCTAGATACCGCAGGTAAATCTGCTGGTGAACTCCGGGCTTGCGTGCTTCTTGTCACTTGCGTCCTGCCCTTCCCTCGAGAAGTTCCAGGTGGCACTCATGGTGCTAATGCTCACGACAGCCCAGTGAGTCTCTTGGCTGAGTGCAATTTGAATGTTCGTCTCCCCAGTCTGATACTCTAGATGTTGGCTTTTTTGACCTTCAGAAATGCATTTTCTACTTTTCCTGTAAGGAGGAGTAGCAGCAAGCAGAAAGGCTCTGTGTGTCAGTGTTGCAACTCTGCTTTCCACTGAAGAAGCTTTTTATTCCTGGAAGGCAAAGGCAAGAGCATTATTCTGAGACAGATTCGAACCCAGTAGCACCTGCAAGTCCAGTTAGATTTCCAGCTTTCCTGAGTCAGAGTTCCCTTTGTCAGGTATCTTTGGCTCTCGGAGGCTTTTCCCCCTGGGAATCTGGCTGGTCTCTAATGTGGTCCTGGACTTGAATCGTCCTCTTCTATTGCAGACCAACATGGCTACCCATCTGAAACTAATATTCTATTCTCAAGAGCAGGTGCTGGAAGGAACCTGTGCTCAGTCTCTCTCCTCCCATTTAAGTGGTTCCGGAAGAGGGTTGGTTTGTGAGCAAAAAATCTACTTGGCGAGCTACTGGCATTAAAGTTGTGAGCAGAAGTTTTGGCTGCTGCATAAATTAGTTTGCTCTGTAGCCCTCCTTCCTGAGCTGAGACAAAAATGTGTGAGCCGGAGGCTAAAGAACTGTGACTTAGCTCACACTAACTCAGCTTAGAGGGAACACTGGAGGATACTGGGATTTAGGGAAGAGCTGGAAGGAGCAGCGGCCACCCAGCACACCAGTGGAGCTTATCCCTTTCGCAGCATGCCATGAGCTTTCCAGGTGGTTCAGGAGCTAGCCAGCCCTTGACGCTTTTTCCTCTGGCCTCTTGTTCATCCAGGCCTTTCCGCCCCCGCCCACCGCAACAGCCCACCACCGAGGGGGGAGATGGTGAGACCAAAGCAGCACAAGCCCCGGCCGACGGCATCCGTCCTGAGCCCCAGCGTCAGCGCAATCGGCCTTACTTCCAGCGCAGACGCCAGCAGACGGCTTCAACTCGCCAGTCAGCAACAGAGGTGAGATTGAAAGAGGGCCGCTTCAAGCCGCCTTGGGCGGGGGGGGGAGCATGGAACTTCCAATCTAGTTTTGTGCTTCTCTGAAACAGCACACTTCTGGTTCTGAAAGCTGTAAGCATCGATGTGCTCCCTGCTTGTTAGGAGACTTGGGGTACAGTAACCCTTCTAAATGTAATTCCGCCGAGCTAAGGAAGAAACCGTTCCATACCCCAGTCCCCTGAAACCTTAAACAGAAGCGGCATCTCAGAACTGGAGGAAGCCTGCCCACAGAACCCCACGAACACCCTCCTGCCTTGGTCTTGAAAAAAGATCTAGAAATCAATGTGTTCTTCAAGGATGGGTTAATATTGTCTAAACTGGAGATAAAAATGGCTGGCCGCCCTCTCTAATTTTCCACTTATCTGAACTTTTAACCAAGAGACATCCGGCTGTCCTCAACCAGGGCGTTTTCTGCCCTGGCCCCCAACCTGGTGGAACTGTCTGCCGAGTGACATCCGTGCCCTGCGGGACGTAAAGCAGTTCTGCAGGGCATGCAACTTAGAGATGGTCCACCAGGCGTTTGGTTGGTTGAGGACAGCGATGGTTTTCCATCGGTCTGGCACTCCCGTTTCCCCTGCCTCCCCCCCCCCCCAATTAGGCAGTGGCACACTTTGGCAGTACCATCGCCATCTTATTGGTATTTATGCTGTATTTGATTATTTTAACTTTTAGATATAATTATGTAAAGCTTTTTGATGTAAACCACCCTGAGCCCTGTTCCACAGGGGGGAGGTTAGTCTAAAAATTGATACTAATAGATAAATACATAATAATAACCATGTGTCTGAGGTCAGCAGGGTATCCTGGGCGCCTCTTGGGTGGCCTTAAACGAGGAATGAGCCTTCAGTCACTGCTTTGAGGAAGGAAGTCTTCCGGAGGGATTGGCTTACCACCGTACATACCGTGTGTCCTCATGCGTGCTCTCACACTGAGCGTAAAAAGGCATGCTGGATGGAGATGCCTGCCTGGAAACATAATCCTCTTTTGTTGTGCCATAGGCTACCTCGACTCTTAAAGAGCAACCTGCTCTAAGCTCAGCTGCTGCTGGCGGAGACACCCCTGCGACCAGCACTCCCGTGATGGCTCAGGAGGCGGTGGTGGAAGCCAGCAAGCCGGCTTCCCCGGCCCAGGAGAGTCCCTCCCAGCCGCTGCCGGAGATCCAGCAACAGCTTGTGGATGTGAGTGAGGGCTCGGCCGGTAATTCAGAGCCTTTCACACTGGGCTGCTGATGGACCGGTTAATTTGTGGGAGCGAAAGAAGTGTCCTTGCTCAAGTGGTGGGATACCGTTTACTGTGGGTGTCATGCACGTCTGTTCTTGGACTGTGTGCCCCCCCCCCCTCCTGGCTTCTGGCTAGAATCTGGCGTGGACTTCCCAGGGCCCTGTTGTCTCTCTGTTGGCCACCAGAGGTCCTCTTGAGTTTCTCAGAGGCAGCCATGAGGTTGGCCCCTCTGCCCAGCCCTGCAAAGACTACCTGGTGGGGAGGTTGCATTTTTGGACTTGGCAAGACAAATATCTATATTTGCAGACTTCAACACCTGAACCTGGGGGAGAGCTTGCCCCAGCCCTACTGGCATGATGAATCTGCACACGGTGAGGGGATGCCAAGAGCTGTGATCTGGTAAGGAAGCCCCGTGCTGGAAGTCCCGAGTCCGGGGAGGGAGGGAGAAGTTGGGAAGCATCTCCCAGAGGGGCAGGGGGGGGTGGGGTAGGCTTCTTAAAAGGAATAAAGGAAGGGCTGTCTACTGGTGTACCTTGGTAGATTTCTCCTTGATCAGAAGTGGTCTGGGGGTTTCGTAATTCTCCTCAAGCATTGCTCCACTTTGCTGTTTGGAGACATTTGTCCTTCACAATTTCTTCTCCTTTATGGCGGCTTCATTGACAAGGTGATTTAAAATGAAACAAGGGAAGATCGCTTGGAAGATTGGAGATCAGCCTCTCCACCCAAGGGCAAGGGAGCTTCTGGGTCTTGCCGCTGGCGATCAGCCTCTCCACCCAAGGGCAAGGGAGCTGCAAAGCAATTATTAAATGCTGCCCAGAGGCAGGAGAAGCCAGGGAGTGGCTAAAGGCCAAGAGGAGCCTGTGAGTCTTGGCACGATGACACGCTTGATTTGTCCTTTATGATAATGTCACAACTGCAGCCTTAATAGTTCTTGTCTAAAGCTCAGTTTGACTCCCTGTCTGTCATCGTAAAGAACCATGCCAAGGGGTTCTGGTGGGGATCGGTGGGCATTAAAATGCATCTTCCCTGTGGTGTAACCATGCCCCATCTCGCTGGCCTGAGACAGCCTCCCCCCACCTTAGGTCACAGTGGCGGGGGGGTAAGTAAGTAAATTTATTACAGTCATTGACCAGTACACAGTAAAAGAAGTAAAACCCTGACTTAAGACATTTCTGTTCCCTATACAGGAATATAATATTTGTAAAATACATAAATAAACCAGTAATAACCTAAAATATTAGGTGATATAACTTACATTACTTCAGCTAGCATGACTTATCCATATTTTCCTCCGCTTAATTGCCAGCCAACCACACTTAGCAATTTTGAAGGTGACATCTCTGTTTCCATCAGCGAACATTTTCTCAAGGAGACTTTTTTGATCTTTCCCTGGGAAACTAGAAATTACTGGTACTAGCAATGCCTCCTGAATCTGTTTATAGATTTTACAGTGAAAAATTACATGGCTTAATGTCTCCACACTCCCATCCCCCCATGGGCATAGTGCATTCTTCTAAAGGTGTCGTCTTATATTTGCCTTCCTGTAGGCAGCATATCATATCATGGAGTGAAAGCCCTCCTATAATTGGGATTCTCTAAACTGTTAACATAAGGCATCAATAAGGGCCTACTTAGGGTGTGTGTAGCCCACAGGTGGCTGTCGCTCTCTGCCTCGCTGTTGGTGTCTGACCGTGTGTAGCCCACAGGTGGCTGTGGCTCTCTGCCTCGCTGTTGGTGTCTGACCGCCTTTTCCCTCTCACAGGTGTCCACAATGTGCCTGCAACCCAAGTTACCTCATCCTGCACTTGAAGAGACCCCAAACTTCACCAGTCCCCCTTTGCTGCTGTTGAAGCCCTGAATGTAAAAAAAAAAAGTTAAACCTGAGGAACGTGAGGGGGAAACGTGACCAAAAAGGAAACTTGCTTTCATTTAAAAACCTTCCGAGGGGCTTCTCTTTCCCCTCCCGCAGCTTTGCCAGTTTGAGAAGAGACTGGCTGTTGAATCTTCAGTTAATTTTTTCTCCCCCCATTTTTGAAGACCACCCTGTGCAGTTTGGGCGTCAGTAAAAGAATTTGCACAGATTTGACTCTTGAGTGTTTTTTTAAGGGACTAAGTGGTGTGTAAGTATGTGTGCACCTTGGTTACGGTGAATGTCGAAGATTTGAAACGAGTCTTAAAATGTGAGGGGGCTGTTAGGCTAGTGATGCATACCTGGGGCAGAGGGGTAAAAAGTTACCTCAGGTGGACTGGGGGGGGGAAGGCAGGTACAGCTTGTATACTTCTCCTTGAAAGAAGCTGCTAGGTGACTTGGGAGGTGTATTGAATTTAAGGTGGGCAGTGAGATTGCCTGTCCCTTGGGCATTTATGGCCTCCTGTCGATCTGTTAGTGGGCATGTTCCTCCACTATACAATAAAACTGCCCACAAATTTTGGACAAGAGCAGCAGCCTTCTGCTGTAAGTCAGTTGATTGGTTATTTCTTCTATATACCTCTATATTGGCAAAAATTCAGCTTGAGCTGAAAGGAAGATTGGCCCTCCCTTCATAGAGTAACTCAGTTATGCGGGGTGTGAGGAAATGCCTTTCACCCCAGAATTCATGGTTGTATTAATCTGGGGTCTCCGTTTATCTCGGGGCCAGAGAGAAATGGTCCTTTTGCAGTTGGACACAGGTACACCAGTGAAATACAAGTGGAGGTATGAATCACAAGAGCAGAGCACTGCTATCGAAACACAGATGGACCCTGCCAGGAAAACAAAGGCAGCCCAGGGTCACACAGTCGCCCCTGGAGCCATCAGGCAGAGAAGACAAAAGTGATGGAGTGAAACTCTCCCTTTGGGGAAGGAAGGGACAAGTAAGGTCTTCGCAAGGGAGGTGAGGGACAAAGACAGGTTGTTTAAACCCAAGACAGGAGGGGGGGAGAGAGACTCACTTCAGTTTGGACATCGTCTTGAACCTGAGCCACATGTTTCTGAACAAACAGCAGGCAGCTCCAAATAAGGACTTCTAAGTTAGGCGCACGGAACGCTGTTACCTTCCCACTGAAGCGGTACCTATTTATCTACTTGCAATTTCTTGCTTTGGAACTGCTAGGTTGGCAGGAGCTGGAACTAGAGACGGGAGCTCACTCCGTCATGCGGCACCCCTGGGTCTCGAACTGCTGAACTACTGACCTTCCACAGCCTGCAGCGTCTTAACCACTTGAGCCACCGCAGCTCCATATGGTGGCTGTTACTGAAGGATTAAGTGCTCTGTTTGGGAGGAAGGGAAGCATCAGGTCGAGATCTGGGGCCACCATGGAACTTTTCCCTCCTGGTGACTGGAGGGAATGGGGGATTATGCATCCTTTCCTTCACAATAATTCAAAGGAGGCTGTGGCACAGAAGTCTGATCTTTGGTCAGAAGGGCCCCTGCCTACTCAGATTTTAGGCCTAAAAACAAATAGTCATTGTGGTCTTTGTTGTAGTGCATGCAGCTATAATGAGGGCAATGAGCTAGCCTTGGAAGGGACCGGGCCTTGGCCTGGCGAATGGCTCTCTGGACGGAGAGGTTTGGACTGCTGTCTGGTTTCAACTCAATAGGGTAACACCTGGTAATTTAGAATTCCTGCATTACTGTGTCAGCTAGTCTTTTAAATGTAGTTCTTGTTTTAATCCTCACTGCTAATGTTCTTTTTGAAATATTATTGCACCCTTGAATAAATATCTTTTGATTATATCTGGTGTTCAGGGGCTTCAATTCCATTCCAGTACCTTAGACCTGAAGAGTCCGCCTACCAGGTTCACTGTTGTGGAAACTCATGCTGCAAGTGGTCTACCTTGCAGGGCTGACTTGATTAATCCCAGGGAGGCTACAAGTTTGCCCCTTAGCTTCTGGCTGTGTGGGTAGTTCAAGGGGCTGGTGGTAGATACCAAAACTGGTGAGTTGTGTGGACACACACCCAGGGGTTTTATAAATTTGTGCTTTGCCTTCCTGTACCAAGAATCCATTGGACTGAGGAATCTTGACAAGTACCCTGTTCTTTACTTACAAGTAAATTTTCCTGCTGGAAATGAAACATACAAGGGAATAGTAATCTGTGTGGGAAAGTATTGATGTAGAAAAGTTTCCTCTTGAGGTGAAGATGTATGAAGAATAGTATACGAAGAATCCGAATATTAAGGACTCCATTTTGAAGAACTTCCTCAGTAACTGAAACAATATATCTTCAAATAGGTTATATGCACTCTTGTGAGTTACGGAATACACATCTCATAAACAGGCTATTATCGACAGCACATCTCAGGAGAAGCTCAAGGGTTTACATCACACTTCCATAATTATCAATACTTTGGTTATTATTGAACTCAAGGCTTTACATCATAATTATCAATACTTTGGTTATTATTGAACTAGGGTTAGCATCTTTTTCACACAGATTACTATTCCCTTGTATACCTACACTGTGTGTTCCTCTTTGGAAATACAAACATAAACATGCCCTTAATCTTAAAACTAGTATCTTCCTCCATGTACAAGTGAGGCCATGTTTCAGCTCGAAGTGGTTCCCAGAATCACGCTGGTCTCCAGACAACAGAGGCGAACTCTCCTAGAGAAAATGGCTGCTTTGGATGGTGTGGAAAAGATGGCATTATGCCCTGCTAAGGTCTCTCTCCCCCAAATCTCTGGAAATTGCCCATAGGAGTTGGCAGCCCTAACTGAGCACCCTCTGGGTTGTGGGGAGACTTGAAAAGAACACTTGAAAAGTAGCTTCTGCACGTGTTTCCTGCTGCAGTTCTTCAAAGTTGTTTTTTGGGGGGCACAGGTGCACCCTTGTTCCTTGGCTTTACAGGCCTGCCCTTTTTTTTAAACAAAAAAGGTGATTGGAATAAAAATCAATCCCTGAAACTCCCCGGGCAAAAGTTCTGAAATTCAAGTAAGGGGATCAAAATTGTGAAGTAATAAGGATGAATTGCATTAGAATATATATATTTGAGTGCTCACATCTCAGGGTGTGTCTTCCCAAGAGTAGGATCCTGGTTAGCTAAACTGCATTTCAACAGGTAGTGTGAACCATTTTAGCTTCTAGGAAGAGTTCAGGCTTGATTTGGGGTCTAGGTCAAATCAGGCCCAAACTCTCCCTAGAAACTTACAAGACTGAACTGAGGCTGTTGTACTTTGGTCGCATTATGAGAAGGTGAGAGTCACTGGAAAAGACAATTATGCTAAGTCCAAGTTGAAGGTAGCAGGAAAAGATTGGATTTATACCCCGCCCTTCTCTACCCAAAGGAGTCTCAGAGTGGTTTACAAATCTCCTTTCCCTTCCCCTCCCCACAACAGACACCCTGTGTGAGGTAGGTGGGGCTGAGAGAGCTCTGATAGAAACTGCTCTTTTTCAAGAACAGCTGTGTCAGAACTATGGCTTGCCCAAGGTCACACCAGCAGCTGCAAGTGGAGGAGTGGACAATCAAACCCAGTTCTCCCAGATTAGAGTCTGTACACTTAACCACTACACCAAACTGGCTCTCGGAAGGAAGCGAAGAAGCCATGGCCCTCAGTTTCCAAGACCTGAGCAGGACATTTTGGAGGTCATTAATTCATAGGGTTTCCACAGAGTCCACCCTCCAAAACAATAATTTCCACCAGGGGAACTGATAGAATTCCAGGGGATCTCCAGCTTCTACCTGAAGACTGGCAACCCTATGGACAGACCATCCTATCATACACTTCAGACGTGGTGGCTTCTGGAAGGGGGGGAGCTGGAATTTGGGCTTCCGATGTGTTGAAATGTTGTGCCTTCTGCGATCGTTCTAGTCGGGTAACCGGCATGTTAGTTTATTGTCACAAAACCAAAATGTAAGAGCAGAAAGGCGGGATGTAAATTTTGTAAATAAAGACTTCCATGAGCCAGAATTTACTAGTTCAGACACAATGGGAGAAATAAAGCCCTTACGCAGTTTTAAAGAAAAATTACAGAAGGGACTGGAGGAACTAAGCAGAGAGAGGCCTAGGGTAATCTGGTTAGATTCTCTAACATGAACCACTGGGGTAGTTTAATGGTTTGTGGGAGAGGTCAGAGGTAATCCATTATACTATCGATGCAGCTAAAAGTCCCCGCACACACAGAATCTAACCTGATCCATTAGTCCTCTCTCTGCTCTACCTTTCCCTTTCTCTAATTTCCTGTAAAACTGAGGTTGACTGGTTCATTTCTCTGATTGCATTTCTTTTACAGATACCATGGAATGCCAAAAAGACACATCAGTGGGCTCTAGATTAAATCGAGCCTGAACTCCCCCTAGAAGCTAAAATAAACCGAGGCGATCATACTTTGGTCACATTCTGAGAAGACAAAGAGTCCCTGAAAAATGACAATAACACTAGGTTGAAGTTGAAGGCAGCAAGAAGAGGAGGAGGAGAAGGAGACTGGATTTATACCCCGCCCTTCACTTGGAGTCTCACAGCGGCTTACAAACTCCTTTCCCTTCCCCTCCCCACAACAGACACCCTGTGAGGTGGGTGGGGCTGAGAGAGCTCTGACACAAACTGCTCTTTTCCAAGGACAGCTGTGCCAGAGCTTGTGACTGACCCAGGGTCACATCAGCAGGTGCAATTGGAGGAGTGGGGAATCAAACCCGGTTCTCCCAGATTAGAGTCCGCGCACTTAACCACTACACCAAACTGGCTCTCAAGAGAAGAAGACCCCACAGACCTTTAAGACCAACAAAAGTTTATTCAAGGTGTGAGCTTTCGTGTGCGCAAGCACACGAAAGCTCACACCTTGAATAAACTTTTGTTGGTCTTAAAGGTTCCCCTGGACTCATGTAGAAGATGGAGCAGATCTATTCTCTCTTGCTCCGGATTGCAAGACTAGATCTAACGGGTGGAAATTACAAGGGAGTCGATACCGGCTAAATGTCAGGAGAAACTTCCTAAGAGTGGTTGAGCAGTGGAACAGACTGCCTTGGGAGGTGGTGGATGCTCCTTTGCTGGATGTTTTTAAGTGGAGGCTGGACGACCATCTTCCGGGTATGTTGTAGGGCTATCTTTCGGCTACGCTCCTGCAGAGTCCAGGGGGTTGGACTAGATGACCTGCAAGGTCCCTTCCAACTCTAACACCCTATGATTCTGTGACTCTAAACCTGTTCTACTGCTCCAGACCAACACAGCTGACCAGGCTATCAATAAAAGGAAGCCACGGCCCTCAGCTTGCAAGACTGTGAATGAGAGGGTGTTTTGGAGAATGTTAATTCATGGGGTCGTCAGAAGTCAGAAGCAACTTCATGGCACTGAACACACATGTTGCCTTTGAAGAAGCGAGTCTCTGTCTCACTGCATTAAATGTTCATAGATTCAAGAGGGTCGCCCTCTCGGTCTGAAGCAGCAGCCCAACGTTTGAGTCCAGTGCGTGAAAGCTTACACCTTGAATAAAACTTTGTTGGTCGTAAAGGTGCCACTGGGCTCAGACTTTGTTCTGGGATAAACGCTGCTAGTCTCTGCACTGTTGCTGAACTTTGTTTTGTGTAAACTCTGACCTAGCAGGCTGTTTTTCCCGGCCCTTCTAGGGAGGCGTGCCTCCTTCTCCGCTCCTCCGTTTTATGCTTCTGAGAACCCTGGGAAAGCAGCGTGCTGCTAGGCAACCACAGTGTGATTACTACACGGTCTGGGAGGGAGGCACCAGGCCACGAGTGACCCATAACTGGCAGCAACACCACAGTGCTCCGTGACCCTTTATTGCTTACGTGGGAACCACGCCAGGCGTAGCAGAGACCACACGGCCATGTGCCACTTAGGTGCAAAAACAGCTTGTGGTTCTTCAGGCTCCAGAGTTCGGTGTTATAAGAAGTTCGCATTGCTCATCTGGATTATTCTTCCAGTGCTTCATTTCTAGAGCAAAAGAGACTCAGGTTCCAGCCCAGGAGCCCTGGCACCAAAGCCCCAGTGTGTGAGTTGTACTCAGTGCAGGCTCCGGAACACTCTTCTTGATGACTTTCCATATTCCAAGGCTGAGCCCTCCACTGATTACAAGGCGGAAGGGATCAACCCTGGTTCCATAAAATTAACATTCATGTATAAATCAGAAGATCTCTCCTCATAATGACCCCTTTCCACATCCTGCATTTCTCAGCATCCTTGGTCTTTGCTCCCAAGGCAAACAGAGTCCCTGATGGGAAAAATGGTGGCCAAAGGCACGCGCGCTCTGTGAGTCCCCCACCAGTACCTCCTTTGCAGCAATAAAACGTGTGTCTTCTTGGAACGCCTCAAAGCCAAAACACTGCTGAAAGGTGGGAAGGGACTGATAGCTCCTACGCAAACCCCCCAAAATAATAAACTTGGCAGCCCTGTTTTATTAAATTAATTTCTTTAAAAAAAATACAAGAAATTAAAATGCATCAAGTCTAAAAAAAACCTAATGACCTAAAGAGAGAGGTTCAACTCTGCCTGCGTGTTAGACTCTAAGTCTTGCGAGATCATAAAGTGCTAGACGGCTCCTCCCCACCTCCCCTGACCCCACATTCCCTCCTGCGTCCTTTGGTGGGCAGCTCCCGCCAGTCCTGTGACTCAGTCGTGGTTCCCCGGGCTTAGTTCGTCCAGCTCTGTGTACGGCTTGACCTCGTGGTCCAGCAAGGACGGGGTGCGTCGGAATCCGGCGGCGATCTGATCGAAGGTGCGCCCGCGCGTCTCAGGCACCTTGAGGTAGGTGAAGCCCAAGAAGACCAGGAGGAGAACGGCGAAGATGAGGAAGACGTAGGGGCCACACCGGTCCTGCGGGAAGGAAAGAAAGAAAAGGTGAACCAGGGCAAAGGCGCCAAGTCCCCAGAAGCGACTTCCTCCAATGGCAGATTGATTTACTTCATTTCCGCCTCACCCGTTTACTTCATTTCCGCCTCACCCATCTCCCTGCTTACATAGCCCTCCTTGCCTCTGTTTTATCTTCACAACAACCCTGTGAGGGAGGCTATGGTGAGAGTGTGTGGTTGGCCCGAGGTCACCCAGTGAGCTTCCATGACAGAATGAGGATTTGAATGTGGGTTTCCCAGATCTTTGTCTGATGCTTTAGCCACTGCGCCACGCTGGCTGGGGTGCCGCGAAGGGTGGCAGCAAGAGATGCAGATCTGTCCCACGGGGAATGATCCAATGGGACATTCCCTTGTGCAAGCCCTGCTGCAGTGGAGATGTGCAAAAAGCAGTGTTTTGGGGGGGTCTCCTCTTGGTTTCAATGGGGCTTATTTGGGAAAATTGCCTTCCTTCCTGTTCTTGCACAACCTAGTTTGAGCAGGGCTTTTTTGTAGAAAAAGTCCAGCAGGAACTCATTAGCATAATAGGCCACACCCAGCAGCAGGAACTCATCAGCATATTAGGCCACACCCCCATGTTGCCAGAAGGGTGGTCATCCAGCCACACCCACCTTTTGCTTCTTATTCTGTTTACCTTGTTTGTTGTCAAAACCAAGGGCTTTTTTTTGTTGCAGGAACTGCTTTGCATGTTAGGCCACACACCCCTTATGTAGCCAATTCTAATGACTTTCTACTGCTGGGTGTGGCCTGTTATGCTAATGTGTTCCTGCTGGGCGTGGCCAACTTGGGAGCCAGCCGGGACTCCGTTCCTGTGCGTTCCTGCCCCAAAATAGCCCTGAGTGTGAGAATACCTGGTGGGTTGTGTTCTGTGTTAGTTAACAGCAGGAGGAGGGAATTGGCCCCCTCCACCACCAGCACCCAAATGCTTAGAACTGGCCACAAGAGACAATAGGGAGCTTCCCCTCCCTCTTGGGAAACTCATGCTCCCAGTTTTGTCTGTTTCACCCTCTTCCTGCTATCCCCGAAGTAAGTCTGGCAGCCTCCAGGTGCGGCCTGGAGATCTGCCAAAATGACAACTGATCTCCAGTCCAGACGACGGAGCTCAATTTCCCTGGAGAAAAACAGCACTTTTGGAGGGTGGACTCTATGGCATTCTACTCCACCGAAGTAGAATTCTACTCCCCTCCTCAAACCCTCTCCTCCCCAGATCTCCAGGAATCTCCCAAGCTGCAGTTGGCAACCTGGTCACCCGAGCCACCTTGTCCCTGGAAGAAAACTGGCTGGGAAACGAGCCCCGAGTGATCTGGCTGCCTGCCAGAGGCTGCCCGTCGTCCCTACACACGCACGTATGCACGCACGCACACACACCCCGACTCATTTGCCAGCTAATTAAAACAGTTTCATGGAAGGACCTGCTAGACCCTCAGCTCAGAACCGTTTCGCCGCTTGGCCTTCAGGCTGGTCCCCTCTGAACACACAAAGCTGCCATCTACTGAGACCTTTTGAAGCTGCCGTCTACTGAGTCAGACCTTTCGGTCCGTCCAAGTCAGCATTATCTGCTCAAACCGGCAGCAGCTCTCCAGGTTCTCAGGCGGAGGTCTTCCCCATCACCTCCTGCCTGATGCTTAACTGGAGACGCCGGGGATTGATCCGGGGACCTTTTGCGTGCCAAACAGAGGCTCTGCCACCGAGCCACGTCCCCTTTTTCAGCAAGCAAAGCAAGGAGACGCCTGAATCAAGATCAGCGTCCGGGGAAAATTTGGAAAGACGTTAATCAGCAGCAAAGATTTATATTCGAACATCTGTTTGCAGACGTTTAGGGAAGTGTTCAGAACGAACTCCGCAGTTAAAACTTTCTGCTGTGGTTGTCTGGTAGGGGTTACCAACCTGCAGGTGAGGCCGGGAGATCTCCTGGAATTGCGATGAATCTCCAGGCTTTAGAGACCCGTTCGTCTGGGGAAAGGGGCTGCTTTGGAGGGAGGGGTCCAGGGCATTACGCCCTGCTGAGGTCCCTCCCTTCTCCAAGGCCCACCCTCCCCGAGGATCCAAAAAACCCCCAAATTTCCAGGAATTTCCCAAACTGGAGTTGGCAACTCTATTTCCCAGTCAGAAGAAGAGGAAGAGGAGGAGGAGGAAGAAGAAGAAGAGGAGGAGGAGGAAGAAGAAGAAAAAGAAGAAGAGGAGGAGATTGGATTTATACCCCATCCTTCACTCGGAGTCTCAGAGCGGCTGACAAACTCCTTTCCCTTCCCTTCCTCTCCCCACAACAGACACTCTGTGAGGTAGGTGGGGCTGAGAGAGCTCTGACAGAAACTGCTCTTTCAAGGACAGCTCTGACAGAACTATGGCTTGCCCAAGGTCATCCAGCAGCTGCAAGTAGAGGAGTGGGGAATCAAACCCGGCTCTCCCAGATTAGAGTCCACGCACTTAATTCTGTGCAGGTAAAATTCAGATACCCCAGTGCAGAGCCATGTAGGGCTCTCAAGGACAAAACCAACAACTTGCTTTAAAAAAAAAAGAAAAGAAAAAAAGCCCTATTGAGTGAGTTTCTCCAACTTCCATGTTGGGTATCGCAGTCCGTTCCAGGAGGCACGCAGGCTGCTCCGCTCCAGGGCACCAATACACATTCCTGCACGCGCACCCGGCCTCCCCGCTCCCACGCCAGTCAGGGATACGTACAGCAATCGACGGGAAGCTCATGCCGATGATGAAGTTGCAAGTCCAGTTGGCGAACCCGGCCACGGCCATGGCGGCCGGGCGGGGCCCCTGGCTGAAGAGCTCGGCCACGATGAACCACGGGATGGGCCCCGGCCCGATCTCGAAGAAGGCCACGAAGCCAAAGACGGACACCATGCTGAGATAGCTGATGGACTCCACTTTCTCCTGTTTGGAGGGGAGGGGGAGAGGAATGTTGGCGTTAATGGGACACAGCAGGGAAAATAGGGGCTTAAAGGCCCCGTGGGGACAGTGTGTTGGGAAACGTTTTGCTTGCCTTTTTGCCACGAGGGATCCAAGCCCGCGAATACAGAAGACTCCAACGACGTCCCATAGAGGGTTGTCAGTCTCCACAGATCTGGATCCCCAGCAAAGGATGCGCAAGGGGATTTGGGGCAAGTGAACAGTTTTTCTGAAGTGCCACAGTGCAAATGAGACCAGGGCAGGCTGCAGCCTCCGTTGCCACTGCCAGAGACCAATGCTCCCTCTGAGCTGTGGGGTCTTCTGAGCAAAGATTCTACTCTGTGAGCTACTAGGATTAAAGTTGTGAGCGAGCCATTTGGCTGCTGCAGAATTTAGTTTGCACTGGTGCCCCATCCTTCCTGAGCTAAGATGAAAACGTGTGAGCCAGAGGCTAAAAAACTGTGAGCTCGCTCACCCTAACTCGGCTTAGAGGGAACACTGGCAGGGACAGCACTGTGGTTTGTGTGTTCACGTGCCCCCTGTGTCTTGGGCAAACTCAGAATATCCGAGGCAGCCAGCATGACAGTAGGAGACCTTCGATAAAGGGTATGGGGAAAGGAAGCTGGGAGAACATGAGCTTCCCTTCCCCATTCTTCTGCCCCAAGGATAGCCTTCAGGCCATCATATCAGGCTGGTTTCTAAGTGAATCGGAGAAACCACCAATTCCCACAGTGGAACTCACTGCCACAGGACATGGTAGTGGCCCAAAGCCATGCTCCCTCTAAGCTGTGGAGTCCTTTGAGCAAAAATTCTACTTTGTGAGCTCCTGGCATTAAAGTTGTGAGCAAGCGATTTGGCTGCTGCATAGATCACTTCGCTCTGGAGCCACATCCTTCCTGAGCTAAGACTAAAATGTGTGAGCCGGAGGCTAAAAAACTGTGCGCCAGCTCACGCCAGCACAGCTTAGAGGGAACTGCTCAGTGGCCTCCCATCCAGAGGTCCTTTCGGGGGGGATCGTGGGGATCGCTGTTCCCCCGGGTGAGGTACGGGGGGCGGGGCACATGACAAAGCCCCGCCCCCTAATTCTGGCTGCCCCACTTCCGGCCCTCATTCAGCCAGGAGGAGGCAGGAGAAGAGGGAGGGTAAGTTGCTTCCTCCCTGCCTCTCCCCACCCCTGCCTGCCTGGGGCCAGGGAGGGCCTTCGCAGGGCTTCCTTGCACTCCCGCTGGCCTTGCAGGTCCACCGCCGGGCCCCTCA